TTTTTATTGTCAACCTTATTTGACATTTACTCTTCAATTTCACTCTATTAGTATGTAATCCCATAGCCTAGTCCCTTACTCTCATCCACGTAGTCCCCTTTCATTTGTACGACCATGGCCTTCCCCCAAATGCCCAAACCAGAAAGAACAGAGAGATTTTCAAAAGAAGGAATAACAAGACATCAAAGCTTTCAGAAACCTCATGAAATTAGAACATCCCATCTAAAAATACTTACAAACAGACTGGTTTGGGCCACAAAGCAGTACTTCATATATGGACCAAAAGAATAGAAAGAAAAGTAAGCTTCAGGGGGCCTGTTATTGTTGTCCAACTGACACTCGAGTGAAGCAGGAGTCAAAGCAGCCAGGGTGATAGAGAGGAGAATGAAACCCACTAGAGCAGACAGAGTGCTCAGAATGCTTCCAGCCAGGCTGCCGTGAACCTAAAAGAGAAATAGTGAGTCAGGATCACTCCTAATGAGCAACAAATGTCTCTTACATCTCTCTACCATTACACTACAAATTATTCCCTTATCTGTTTCCTTCAGGTGGTCTGGGATTGACCATTCATTTATGTCTGTCTCTCCAGCAGCTAGCTAAAGTCTCTGAACCTAGAAGGCAAATCTTGGCTGAGTGAATTAATACATAGAAGTTTCCCCCCTTCGGCAGGACTTCGGTGGTGTGGCAGAGAATGATGCTCTCCTAAATTCTTTACCCTGGACTGATAGCAGGGCCTCCATGAGGCTTTGCCTGCAAAATCACCAAGGGAGTGTGACCAAAAGCAAGGGTGACAGCATACCAGATATAGTCTCTCTCTCTCACAGCTCATTCAGAAACCCCACATGGAAACACCAGTCACACAGAAAAGGCAGGTGGAGCAGTTCACTCTTCTTTGCACGCTACCTCCCTCAGAAGCAGACCCTTTTGGACATGGTTCTCAGTCTCAGGCAGGCCCAGGAGCCTGGACAGGCATGTGATCGGTGGCATCAAGGGTCACATACGGATGGCTGTAGGCAGAGGTCTAGACGCAGGGCCAAGGATGGCGTGATGTGTGGGAGGCAGTGTGAGGTAGAAGAAAAAGGTCTGGACTGATGTCAGGGAACCGAGGTCCACAGTGCTGGGTTTGCCTCTGCTCTGTTTCCTTGGGTACTCAGTTCCTCAGTTTTACTTCACACTCTGGGTCTGCTTTCCACATTAATGAAGTGAGTGAAATAAATATACTGATAGAGAAATGGCTTCCTTTCTGTCCCAACTCACAGGAAACAGAATTGAGTTAAGGCCACTCTGAGAGCAATAGTGATAGGTTGCTGGGCTCTGGGGCCCATCCCACAGCCACAAGTTGGAGTCTTACTCCATCCTATATGGGGCCTCTTCTTTTAGGAACTCAGCAGTTGATGCTTTGGGGCCCCAATTTCCCAAAATAGTGACTAAAGTTCATGTTTCTGGGCCTCCTGACAGCCAGTATCAGTCATGATGCCTGGAGTATGTATTTCTTAGAATAAGCTAGGTTTGTTCTCAGATGGTACTTTTCTTCAGTCTCAAAAAGGGCTACTGTAATATGTGACAAGAGTAGAATTCACTATAAACATTCGAGTGCAGATGTCTTTATTATAGAATGTATTTTTCTCCTTTGGGTAGATGCCTAGTAGTGGGATTGCTGGATCAAATGGTATTTCTATTTTTAGCTCTTTGAGGTATCTCCAAATTACTTTCCACAAGGGTTGTACTAATTTGCAGTCCCACCAGCAGTGTAAGAGTGTTCCTATCTCTAATACTCTTGGGGTGCCAGTCAGGTTGGGGGGTGGGGATAGAGAGGGCAAACCCACAGCTAATGGAAGTGGAGCGCACTGTATGGGGGAAGGGCACACTTGTAGCCCTGGCTTGGGTGAGGCAAACGCATTACATGTAACCAAAATGTACCCCCATAATATCGTGAATTAAAAATAAATAAATAAAAACTTAAAAAAACGAGTAGAATTCACTAAAGGTTAGATGTCTCTCTTGAGCTTGAGTCTATCCTGAGACCACATGCTGTCTCCTTGAGCTTCTTGCACACTCACTGTGGGATTGTTCTTCTCTAGGGTAAAAGCCTCACGTATTTCCCCCAAACGTTTGGAAACATTACTTTTATACCATGTTATTCAATATGGTTGTAACTAGTCATATGGGATATTAATATTTAAAGCAAAATTATGTGAAATTTAAAATCCAGTTGCAGTAGCCACATTTCAGTTTATCAATAGCCACACAGGGCTACCTATTGGGCTACTATCGGATATAGTACATTTCTGTCATCACAGAAAGTTCTATTGAACAGCACAGATCTAGTGGTTTGGAGTCTAGTTGGGAGGTCCAAATAACCATCTCTTAATTCTGGTGAGAGAAAGAAAGATATTGGCACTGTCCTAAGCTCTATGTCTCATTTCCTTGCTGTCTTTGGGAGATTTTTCTAGCCAGAGCTTCCAGACTGAGTTTCTGTGCTGTTGCATTACATGACATTCTCTCACGTGTCCTCAAACATCAACCCCTTGAGGGATGTAGGATTGAGTGAAGACTCAGTGAAACTTTACAGACTAGAAAAGCTTCTCCCTATAATCTAGATTTCTACTCCCTGCCACTTCCAATTCTAGTTTTTCCTAGAATAAGGGATAGGGGCAGATAAAGTCGTTTTTGTTTTTTTTTTTTCTTAACCAGTACTAATGACTAATAACAACTTTTAGCTCTGAAGAATTTATACTCAGACAAAATAAAAGTATTAGCTTCCTGGTGAGACAAATGAAAGAATGAGATAAATGAGATAATCCTTCATATGAACAGCGTTTTAACTGGGTTTCTCAAGGGTTTTAATTCATGGGCTTAATAGTAAATCTCAACAAATAGACCTCTTTATAACACTATCAGTTCCTTCACCACTGAAGACCTAAATGTGAAAACCAGTTATCACCAAAATGGCATCATAAGTAGTAAGCAGAATTTTTCTGTAATAGATTCCTGGGCACTGGGCTAGGGAATAATACAGTACCTTGAGTGTAGACTTTGATTTAAGGTACAATAATTGGAGAACTGTGCTCTGAACAGCGATGTGGAGGATCCAGGCCCAGCTTCTAACTCTAACAAATACCTGCTCTGAAACTTAGTTTCCAGCTTTTCAAGGTGGAGAGACTGGCCGTGAAGGGTTCTAAGTTTCATTTTGGTCCATCAGGTTGTGGGTGACAATTCTCATACTCACCAAAGTCTTAGTCGGCCTTTTCTCTGTGATGATGGACAGAGAGCCAGAAATGACAAACTGCTCAGAAAGGAGAGAAAATGGTCAGGTCAGTTTCTACAGTTTTCATGTGCAGAGTAATTACAATGTTACTATCATGGTGCTTATGGAAAACTCCCACAGGAAAAGCTCTGGGAAACCAATGACCAAAAATGTGAGACCCATTTAAATATATAAATTTGAACTTCTTGGCTGTATAGCAGTCAGATAGCATAAGAAAAAAACAAAAAAGCAGATATGAGCAGGAATCTATCCTAACAAACAAAACGAGGACTTTAAAACCCAGGGAAGAAGTTGTTTGTTTTTAATTAGATGAGAAAATTTTGGAGTAAGATATTCTCTAGAGAAGGACCTAAAAGAAATTATATAGAAAAAAAAGAACAGGGGATAATCATGGGGATTTTGTCCTTCATTATATTGATGTGATGTTTCACATTTATTGATTTATGTATGTTTAACCATCCTTGCATCCCTGGGATAATTGTCACTTGATCATGGTGAATGATCTTTTTAATGTTCTGTTGAATTCAGTTTGCTAGTATTTTGTTGAACATTTGAACATCTATGCTCATTAGTGATATTGACAGTAGACGGTTTTTTGTTTGTTTTCCTTGTAATATCTTTGCCTGGTTTTGATATCAGGGTAATGATGGCCTTGTAAAATGGATTTGGAAGTACTCCCTCCTCTTCCATTTTTGGAAGAGGTTAAGAAGGATTGGTATTAGTTCTTTAAAAGAAAATCATGGGGGAACCTAACAAACATGAGAAGACAGAGACATGGGTTTTAACGTGAAGGCTCCCCACACTAAGGTAAAATAATAAATGAAAGCAGAAGGAAGGACCAGACTGGATGGCAGGAAGCCTTTAAGGCTGTGTTTAAAAAAATCAAAGAAAGTATTCACTCTCTAAAGCATTCGTGATATAGATTAAGAGAGGCTAAGTCATAGAAAATTCTTTGACAACGAAAAAAAACAGGACAAAACAGAAGAAAAGCCATGGTTCCTGTGACCCCAGCATTAAGTAATTTGTCTATATAAATAAATGCTGAGTCTTAAAAAAATTGACTACATGCCTCTCCAAATGTGAGCTGTGCTTAGTGACTTGCTTCTAAAGAGTAGAGAATACAAAGAGGGAAAGAAGTAGGAACTTCACAGTGGAGACACCTGAAAAACACCACCTCAGCCGTATGCTCAAGGTTAATTTGATCAGTGAGATTATGTTGATAGCATGTACCCTTGACATGACTTGGTGAAAATGAAACTTTACCTCTGTCATCTTCACCTACAATTTCATCACCCTAGTCTAAACATGAAAAAAGATATCAGACAAACCCAAATTTAAAAACATTCTACAAAAATGCTGGCTAGTGCTACTTAAAACTTTCAAAGTCACTGAGGGAAAGGAAAGTCTGAGAAAGTATAGAGTAGCCCCAGGAGATATAGTGACTAAATGTAGTAATGCAGTATCCTTGAATGGATCTTGGGACAGAAAAAGGATAATTGGGGAAAACTGGTGAAATTCAAATAAAGGGTTGACTTCAGTTAATAAAACAAGAAAAATGGACCAGATTGACAAAAAGGTGGACTTCTGGATGCATTACAGAAACAAATGTAGAAAAGGCAAGTAATAGCTACTGAGTTGCAGGAAGTTGTCTACAGTCCTAGCACCCTGAACGTGCCTGATCTCGTCTGAGTTGCGGGAAGTTGATGGCGCAAAAAATTATGACAGTGAAGCTTAAATGTGAGAAAGACTCACCCACAGCAATCTAGAAGAAAGCTGTCCTCTGAGAAAAGTACTGCTAAATCCTCTTGACACCCCAGACATGGAGCTGTTTCAGAGGAACTTCCAGGACATCATGAAGCATAAATTGCTCAGCCTGCCCTGGGAACCACTAAATGCAGCAAAAATTATTCTCAAAATGCTTCTTCCCCCATGAATGCCCACAAACATCTGTGTGGCTCCTCTGTGAGTGGGTGATGTCCTCCACTGATGCTCATTTTACTGTAGAGAAAGGTCCTTCCCAACTTTATCCTACTTCCTGGATTTTTGCTTAAACCTGTAGAGAAGCCACTGGCCTCACCGTAACTCAAGAAGATGAGGTGAAAAATAAGTGATCTTCAAAAGAAATGTTTATTTGAGCCAGAAAAAAAAGAGATAGAAAATCAGGCAACTCCTTCCATGCCACTTCACTCTATCCTTCCCTGAACTACACATATAGGAGAAGAAGTCCCACCATTGACTCCTTGCTCCTGGCAGACAGAAACATAGCAAGGTGGCAGTTGAAGAGGCTAAGCTGTTGACATCTTCCCCCCCTCTCCACCCCATCCTGCCCTCCTCAGGAACTGTACTCACACACAAGGATCCTGTGAATGGGTAACCTGACTTCAACAGGGTAGAAAACACACGGGTAAAATGTGGAGAGAAGGAAGCAGATGCTAAAATGATTCCAAAGTTCAACACCATCACGCCACAAAAGATCTGGATAGCCTGTTGGAAGAGGAAGGGAGACAGAGGATTGAAACCAGCATTTGTAAAGACAGGTCCTTTCCACCCCTCCCATGATGCTTATGCATTATCACTTTTTGCAAGATTCCAGTGGGGATACAGACCGTATACAAGCTCTGGGGTGAGAATATGAGAAGACGTTTTGGAGAGGATGCTGCTCTGCCACAGAAAGCCACTGTCCCAAGCCATGGGGCAAGTGCTCAGCAAGCCTTAAAGTCTTTCTGTCTCTCAGGCCCTGGTCTGCCCGGGACCCTTGCTCCCAGCTCACGGCAAGTGCTGGAATTTGTTTTCCCAGCTCTCTGAATCCATGGCTGGGGACTCTCTTTCTGCCTCTTATGGGAACAGGGGACATATGAAAGCCCTCACACTCTCTTGAACATGGGCAGTGTGGAAGTCCCTCCCCACATCCCCTAGACCCCACTGGACACAGCATGGAGCCTGGCTCTGTGTCTCTTCAGCTGAGGATCCTGAAGCTCTATCTTAAGAGGTGAAGTTTTCCTCCCTGACATCCACCTCAGAGAGTCACAGCTCTATTAACATTTACCAAGCAGTTTTCTAGACCTTATGTCACTTAAGCCTCACAGGAACCCATCTGATCGTATATATGAGGCAGGGAGATGAGACCCACTCGGTTATGGAATCTAGCACACAGAGAGCTCCACCTCAGATGGTCTGATTGCAGAGACAATTCTAGACGCCAAAACCCTATCTTTCCCTCCCATTCCAAGATAGATCCCTTCTTCTCCTCTTCCCTTCATTCAATAGATTTTCTTTAATAAATCCTGGATTAGAGGAGAGAGACAAAAGAGACAAACAAAAGGTAAATATCATTTCCTAAAGAGAGGAGAAAAGAGGGAGAGGAATTTTGTTTTTCCCATAATTTGCAGTGTAGGAAAATTTCCTTTCAAAGAATCAAAATGGATTATTAAGCATGCAATTAGTGATCACATAGAAAAATGTGTATAAAATATGTCATCATTTACCACCATGACTTTTGTAAAAGAAAATATAGAGAAGTACCATGTTGCAAAATTACAAAAACAACAAATGTATCAAAAACTCAATTGTTCATATTCAGAATAAGGAAAAAAAATATTTTTAGAACCAATTCTTGTAAAGTTCTGGGAAAATTTAAACAGCTCTACAAGTGGCTTCCACAGACCTGCAGATCAGCCTGGAATCCCTCCGACAAAATTTAAGGGTCTCCACACTCACAATAAATGTCTAGTCCCAAGTCATGCATAGTCTTTTCCCTCTTCCCCCCACTTCTCTTCAACATGTTCTGAATTGGATTTACCCCAATAACGTTGACTTCATCCTTCACATATTTCTTCAGGCTGTCTTGCCTCTGGTTGGAGGGTTGGGGTTTCTCTGTTTGGGAGAGGTTCATGCCATTTGTTGAGAGCACTACAATGGTCTCATTGGTCATGGGTTGCGATATCATGATGGTGCTGCCAATGCTGGAAAAAAAATAAATTCAGTTCTTAAAAGGTACAGAGCTTCCAGGTTCTGGCTCTGTAAGTCAGTTTTTGCCTATTAGTCCAGACTTGGCCCGTCCTTTAGGGAAAGAAACGGGCAGTATAGTATGGAAACCACTCTTTTTCACTGGTAGCAGTTAAAACCACAAAACCTTGGTTTCCTGACAATTTTTCCATAATGTTTGTCACAGTCCATTAATTATAGATGATAAACACATCACAGGACAGCAGCAGCATGAATCTCGAGAGGACCCTATGTTCAGAGGCAAATGGTCACATAAAATTTGCAATACGCAGAAATGTCCTTTCCCCCCATCCTGCCTACAACAACTGCATTGCCACATAATTGATGAATTTCATCCTCAAACTACCCCACCAGTCATGAGATATGATTAGGGTTCTCATCTTCACTCTTTTCCTATCCAGGTTCTGTATTACTCAGACTATCTAACTATGCTCATTTATTTTTGTCTAGTAATACTATTTATGAGCATTAATCCTAGATAGTTTTATCATATTTTACTAGACCTTATCCTGCAGTGCTTTTAATCCTTACAACAACCCCGCATGTTAGTTAGCAAAAGCACGTAACAGATAAGAAAATTCAGAATCAAAAAGTTTAAGTTATGAGTACAAATAGTATACTTTGCATATATGCATGGCATAGAGTTAGCGCTGAAGAAGCATTTGCAGTTAGCATTATTGCTTGGTCCTGTTCACACAACTGGGAAGCTGTAGGACCAGTCTTGGGCACCAGCTATCCCTGAGTCTGAACTCTTTGCATAATTCTATAAATCATTCAACCTCTTCCTACTTTCCCACCTAGCTATGGCAGCCTGTGTCTGAGTTTATTCAGTCTTGTGAAGCAGCTACCTGCAGTGGTATGAAAATAAGTCTTGGAGTCCTAACACCCAGATTCGAGGCTGGCCGCTCCACTTGCTAGCATAAGGACCAAGTTGCCCATGGTGTTGGAGGCTGAATTCAGCTTGGATCTCTTTTCACTACACTATTGTTGGCTCATGGACTGTCCAGTTTTCAAATTGCCTGAGGACATTTGAAGAGACAAGAGCTCTGCTCCCATTAATTACATGACCATAGGTAAGTGACTCACCAAGATCATGCAGTGAGAGAACAGCAGAAATAGAGTTAAAACCAGACACTCCAGAGAAACTAGAGAAAATGTTTATAAAAACATTTGCCCATTCTATTTCTAAAATGCTCTAGCATCTCTGAACTGGTCTCAAGGAGTTTCAAGTTAAATTGCCTCTCTACTGGGGTCAAAGCAAGAGAGTGGCGAGCTGAGAAAAGTCTTCCAGCACTGCCTACCTGTGCCTGTGGTTCCAGCTGAGTTCTCAGAAGCTCCCAGGAGGTTTTAACCCTGGGTCTTTGGGCACTCCTATCAATAGTTCCTCCTTGTCTTCATCTTTTGAAAGTCACCAGCCCTTCCTTAGTCTAGTGTTTATGGCCACATAGGATGTGATACTCACAGATTGTAGAATTGTGAAATGTGCCTGCACTTCCTTTTTTGTAAACTCCTGGCAACTTCAGAAAAAACACAAAAAGAACCAACTAATGATGGTGAGCTTTACGTGCAAATTGACACTCCCTGACTGACTTTCCTGTTATTAGGCCTGTCTATTCTTCTCGGAGCCTCATTTTTCTAATCCATTGAATAGGGGAACAATACCAACACTGGCGAATTGTTATAAGGATGAGAGAAAACGTTTATAAAAAGCCCATACTACTTTCAAGGAGCTTTTGATAATATATGTAACTAATACTCATAGTAGTAGCAATATTGATAAATAATAGTCCATACTATATAATTAACCATAATAATAGTAATAATTGACTATACTGCTTTCAAAGAACATTCAATGATATATAGCTGATACTAGCAATATAGAACATAGAGAAAAACTTCTTTTGTTATTTGTTTATGTGATTTATTTTTTTTTCAGTTTTTAAAAAATAAGCTTTATTGTGATATAAATACTATATGATAAATTTTATTAATTTAGGTTAACAATTTGATGAGTTTTGAAAAATGTACAGTCATGTGAATACCACCAAACATAGATACAGAACATTTAAGTCATCTCCAAAAATGTCCTGATGCCCTCTGCAGAGAAACTTCTTTCTTCATCCCTTGCCACTGTCAAACATTGATCTGCTCTCTTTTACTGTAGTTGTTTTCTAGAATGTCATATAAATGGAATCATATAGCATGTAGTCTTTGATCTAGCTTCTTACCTTTAGCATAATGTTTATTTGATTTATTTATTTTTTCATTTTCTAATGCCCCAAGGTTTTGGTAGGCTGAAAGCAGCCTTTCTTTTTTTTTTTTTTTATTTCAGCATATTATGGGGATACAGATGATTGGGTTACGTATGATGCCCTTGCTCCCCCCTCTCCCCCACGTCCGAGCTTCAAGTGTGTCCATTTCCCGGGAGGTGCGCATCGCACTCATTGTTTGTACATATGCCCATCCCTTCCTCCATCCTTCCCCCTCCCCCTGCCCAACATCCAATAAATGTTATTCTTATATGTGCACTTAAGGGTAGATCAGCTAATACCAATTTGATGGTGAGTACATGTGATGCTTGTTTTTCCATTCTTGGGATACCTCGCTTAGTAGAATGTGTTCCAGCGCTTTCCAGGAGAATACAAGAGGTGCTATATCACCATTGTTTCTTAAAACTGATTAGTACTCCATGGTATACATACACCACAGTTCCCCAAAGGAAATTACAGCAACAGAAAAAATAAATAAATTGGACCTGATCAAATTAAAAAGCTTCTGCACAGCCAAAGAAACTGTCACAATAGCAAACAGGCAACCCACAGAATGGGAGAAAATTTTCGCGTGCTACAAATCCGACAGAGGGCTGATAACCAGAATCTATTTAGAACTCAGAAAAATCAGCAAGAAAAAATCAAACAACCCTACCAAAAAGGGGGCAAAGGCCATGAAAGCAGCCTTTCAACACCTGTTGAGCCATTGCCGCCTCCTGTAGAATTACATTCCTCTTCCGGCTACTCCCTTTCCCTAGAATTACATTCCTCTTCCGGCTACTCCCTTTCCCTAGAATTACATTCCTCTTCCGGCTACTCCCTTTCCCTAACGTTAGACCCTCGCCCTCAGGAAGGGCTGGGCACCTGTAGGGAAGTGGTGAAACTGGAGGGGGCCCCATGGGGAAGATTCAGCAAGACCTAAACAAATTCAAACACACACTTGGGTTGCCTTCAAGCCCTGGGGAGGATGTTCTTTGGAAGCTGACTTTGATGTATAGGGCAGGAAAACCAGAGCCAGCCACAGCAACTGCACAGCCCCCTCCACGAGCTTCCTTCCTTCTTGCCTTGGGGGGCTGCCAGAATGAACCCAGAAACACAGCCTGAACCATCACTCAGAGGACCATGGGCTTTGCACTTAATTCCACATGTGAATTCTTCCAGTGAAGAAAAGAGTTAAGAAACATCATTTAGAAGGTTGGTTTAATCCTTAGAGTCAGAATGATGTGGTCATTACTAAATACCGTCCCTTCATCTTAAGTTCTAGAGCTGAGTCTGAGAGAGGGAATGGACTCATCCAGGAAGCCTCCAACCATCACTCTCCTGAGCTGCTGGTGCTCCTTCCCCTTTCCCGGAGTGCCTGTTGTACTTCCCATAGGTATCCTGTAGCTTCATCACCATGGCAGCATCCGGTGAAACAGTGGGATGCAGCTCTCCTCCTGACCTTTGACAAAGAAGGTACCTGGCCCATCAAGGAACAATCACACCCACTTTCTCTTCAGAGGGATTTGCTAATAAAACCAGTTAAATCTGCCTGCACAAACAAACATTCCCTTTCCCATCTATTTTCTTCTCTCTACTATTATAGTTTTAACGGATGTCTGAGCAATGACACCTATAAGGTGCTTAACCCTACAGAGTACTGACCCAAAAATGATGTACTTACTATCTTTCCTCCGCACCAGCCCTGCTCATTCTCCAAGTGCCAATCTCCTCCCCCTCCCCATGTATTCCTTCTGGGCTCCAGTAATCTCCAAAGAAAAGACTCCTTTCTTTAGTCTTTCAGCTTCATCCCATCCCACCTTTACATTCTCAGTTGCTTCCAGAGTCTGAAGTCTATGAACCTAACTAGGAGGGAAAAAACTAATAGGACAATGACACATGCTGATTAATAGTCTAGCACAGGGTGTCTCAAAGGAAGCTACTAATGACATTTTGGACTGGTAATTCCTTGTGGTGGGGGGCTGTCCGGTGCATGGTAGGAGGTTTAGCAGACTCCCTGGTTTAAGCCATTAGCAACCCCCACCTCAGGGGGTAACACCCAGAAATGTCACCAGATATTGCCACATGTCCCTTCATGGAAGGGAATGAAATCCCCTCACTCCCGTGTTAAGAACCACTAATCTAGGAGCAAAGGGGTTTGTTTGTGCCTTTTGTGTAAAGGAGGGCATGCAAGAAACAGAGCATTATTTTCTTTAAATCAAGTTAATTTCTTGATTTTT